GTCAAATACCGAAGGAAATGAATGCCCCATTCTGGAAAGGGCGCCACTACAGCCATCTCTTGAGCAGCCTCAGGAAAGCAAGCAAAGCCAAGTTCATAAACTCATGCTACAACGAGAGAGACTGCAACGAGGGCACCGACGAACGCAAAATTCAACGAAAGCGCACTCACCAATAAAAGAACATCGGAAAATAAGATCTCGAAAACAAAGACGAATGCAAGACGTCAGACACTTTCGCACAAAGAAAAGTCACCAGAGACACTCCCTGCCTCAGCTATTACACCGACTGCACCACCACAGAAAACGCCGACAAAGACAAGGAAGCACTGCTTGCACACCGCAAGCACTAAGGCACTTCGTCACTGTCTGTCAAAAAGCACGAAAGCAAGAAGCACTGGGATGGCACCATTCACGACGAAAAATACAACCTCGACGACATCCGAACTTCAAATGCTACAGGCACTCCCAACCTTGTCCGTTCTTCACAAAAGCTCAACCGATGTCATCATCAGTTCAGATTTCCAGGGTGTGGTTATGCCATCCAGAACGCAACAGTCAAGCTCGTCCACCAGAGTCGTCATAGAAATCACCGGACTGCTCCCTCAGCCTTGAAGATTCAGTGACATTGTGAAACTCCGTCGGGATGTGAAATTGTGAACTTGGCCATTGTTTTCTTTATTTTCTTCTTCAATTTGTTGTAGTTTGTAACCGGTGCCATCTTTCGGGGGGAGGGGGAATCCTGTGACGTAAGAAGGCAGGGATGGTTGGGAGAAGTAGATGAGGAAGAAGTGTACAACAGAATAAACATGGGGTATGAGCCAGGCCACGTCTCCCATTCATCATAGCGTCACATATATATATATATATATATATATATATATATATATATATATATATATATATATATATATATATATATATATATATACATATATATATATGTATATATATATATATATATATATAGAGAGAGAGAGAGAGAGAAAGAGATGAAGTGGCAAGTTGTGTTGTGCTCGTCCTTGTGTCCATCTTTGTTATCACTAACATGACTTAGTTAATGTAAATGACCGACTAGTCCAACAATATATTTTACAGAAGTATATTTTCAGTACATTGTGTTCTTTGTTCTATGTACAACGCGCATCATCATTCATCGGCAAGTTTATCGCCAACATCATCGATGCTATTTGCCGAGCTGTGTACGACACCTTCTGTATTCGAGAAGATTTCTTTCCTCAGAAGGTTGGGGGTTTTCATGAGTGGTGGTGAAACCCTCTTGGAAGAATGTTAGAGATTGTCAGTCTTTGTTCGCTTCATCCTTTTGTTCGTACTTATTTGCCGTAGTTTCATCTTGGTGAAAGCGAAAACTTTAAGGTAGAACATTCTGAGTTGTGTGTGTGCTTTTGAGAATTAATGAATTGATAAAGAATGAGAGCAACGTTGCTCTTGTCACTGCGAATAACCTCTGTTAGCGAACACTCACCATATTCTAACAAACACTAGCTAACACCGCTCAGCCTTTGTTACTCGTCTAAAAAACGTGAAAGAGTACGCTAAGGCGCGACCTTACGTGTACAAACAGCTTTGCTCAATATCAAAACTAGGCACAACAGAAATTCATGTGGTCACTTATGCATTTACCTTAGACGACACATAGGAGAAAGCCCTACTTTGTGGTTATTTTACCGTACACTATACATGACGTGAACACTGCTTTTTTATTCATTTAGGGACGCGAAGGCCGTAAAGATGAATTGCATGCGCCCCTCGCACAGTCATGAGGCATTTCTTTCTTCATTTAGCTCGCGGCAGACTTTCCTTCAAAGTCAGATTTGTATGAAAGTAAAGCTATCACATTAGTAAGCGTTGTATTAGGCAACATTTTTTTGTATCTGCCTTCATTTCCACGATGAAGCTATAGTTAACGTTAACTGGACATGTTGTAGGCTTCATTGACACGTCACACACCTTCTTCTTGGTCCCTATACCAGGACGTTCAAGTTTACATACAAAAAATATAGCCACAGAATAACACATTTCTGCATCAACACTTCTACATATTTACTTCAGCAATTCGCATGTATATCTCACCTTTTCTTATGCTATGCAGAGCCATCCGTGTCCATTGAGCTAAGAAGGTCACTTTTTAATCAGAGGCCATTAGTTGGGTCATTGTGCGACCACACCGAAATAAAAAATTTGGGGCAGAAAAACGGCACAATACGTCATTTTTGTTTAAGAAATGAGGCCACGTTGTCGATTGAAACCACTGCACCACCGTCACTGCATCAGCCATGGCAACAGCCAACGGTGATGGATTGCATGTGGCTGGGTGGGCTGTGCCTGGTGAATAATTTGCTAGATGGCGCTTCATAAGCCGCAGCTCGGCGTGTTGGTTCCGCAGTGGTTCACTCTGCCTACCACGTTGTCGAAGACGCAACGCGTTTCAGGCACCACACTTAGCGACAATTTACACAACATAACAGTTGCTTAGGTGCATACTGAACGTCTAAAGAGCACACGCTGATAGGAGCTTTGAATTATGTACATTTATAGTCGTCCTTGTGCAACTTTTTGCGTCATGAGCAAGTGAGCAAGAATAACTTGCACTGGGGGGGGGGGGGCGCTGACGATTTTTGCCGGGTTTACCTCGTGCACTTTCTATTAATGTTGGAATTTGCGCTTAACATTGACAAAGCCGCAATGACTGTGCTGCGTTAGCACACGTGTGCTACAGCGTGTTCTTTACTCCAAGAAGTAGTTTTGCCTTGAGGTCTACAATATTACGGTTGTTACCTATTTACACGCTTAATCAACTTTAAGTGAGCAGGCGTGAAGCACCTTCGAGTCTCGCCTTTTCCGCGTGTCCTGTCGTTGTCACGGTGTATCACAAAAGGGGTGTGCGCCGGAAAAAAAAATAGGTATCACAACGGGCCATAGGTTCATGCTACTAAAGGGCACCTAAACAACATCTAAAAATACAAAAAATGAACACATTGTTCGCTCCTGGTGTCTTTTCGGCACAATGTGACGCCATAATGAAATAAGCTATTGATCCAGATGAAAGAGATATCAGCTGTAATCCCCTCTCCTCCTGCCATAGGTCGGCAAATCTTGTGGAGCTCATTCAGTCTCACTCATAAAATATAGTTTGAGCTTTGAACTGGCTGAGTCGTACTTACTTGGACCTACCATCAAGAAAAATTTCTTTAGCCGGGCTCACTCGGACTCAAACTCACCGAAACATTGCTCACCCGGACTCACTCAGACGCAGACTCATGGCTTGATCTGAGTCTAAGTGGGTCTGAGTGAGTCGACTCATGAGTCTGTCAGCCAAGGTTTAGCTTCTTCGATCGTGATGTCGATGCTCTTTAACACCAATATCTCACGTAATCGGTGCTTTTCTTGATGCCCTTTGGCAATGCATCTTCGAAAAAAAAATTCAGAGGGCTTCCAAACCAGTAAGGTTATTTTTCATGAAAGAGATGCCATCAAATATTATAATAATGAAAAATTCTCTGGAAGAGTTGGTGGGGGGAGGTAAAGGCACCCCCTTCCCCTCTACGCAACTCACGCCTTTAAATAATAAATATTGAAATTGTGTGAGAACGACACTGCTTTCAAATACCTTTGAATAGACGTGAGTCTAAATGTGAAACTCCCCGCCGCGGTGGTCTAGTGGCTAAGGCACTCGGCTGCTGACCCGCATGGCGCGTGTTCGAATCCCGGCTGCGGCAGCTGCATTTCCGATGGAGGCGGAAATGTTGCAGGCCCGTGTGCTCAGATTTGGGTGCACGTTAAAGAACCCCAGGTGGTCGAAATTTCCGGAGCCCTCCACTACGGCGTCTCTCATAATCATGAAGTGGTTTTGGGACGTTAAACCCCACATATCAATCATCAATCAAATGTGAAATTAAGTAAGGCCGATAGTAGTGTTGAAAATCACTAGATATAACTTAAAGTCGTCAAAAGGAAGTGAAACTCACTCAGGCTCACTGAAGAAATATATTTTTGCACTTTTAATTCACTGAAACTCACCAGAATGTTTTGAGCAGAACTCACTCGGACTCACACTCACAAAATTTTCTTGAATCGGACTCACTCTGACTCAGACTAACAAAAATATTACTCACCCAGACTCACTCAGACTCACGGCTTCATCTGAGTCTGAGTGAGTCCGAGTAGTCCGCTCATGTGTGAGTTCACCGGCCTATGCCTCCGGCTATCTCACGCACTTGCACGCCTATTTCGCTTTGTCTTTCATGAATATCGTGCACGATCAACTGGTTTCACTTGAGTTTTCGGATTTTGGACTGCGGGAGCAGGAACATCGTGTAGCTGAAAAGCCGGAAATTTGGATAAGCTTAACGCTTAGTGCTGACACTGTCCACGTGTTTCATGAACAAATAAGTGGCGACGAAAAAAGAACGCCTGTAGAAAGGGCAGGGAAGGTGATAGAGAAAGCACTCTATCGTCTTTGGACTCAGAGTGGTTTCGGGGCCGCTTGAAGGTTCGTCGTTACTGCCTAGAACACCATGTTTGGCTCAACAGTAGTGTCAGAATCCCCGACGAAATTCACTGAGCGGCTTGTGTTTCTAATCTGAAATCAGATACACAGACATGCACGATCAAATAATCTACTTGAAACAACACTTATTGAAACATATCTGCAAAGCGATGGTGCGTTCGTGGACGGGTAGTGAGTAAAGCGGTAAGCTGTAAAGATATTGTTGCGCGAAATACCGGCTCACACTGTTTGCTTCGCCCCAGCCAAGGTTTCACACTAGTGGAGCTTAAGCATCCTTTCCAACATGCCCCTTCTTCGCTAGACGCCAACTGAGCATAGCAAGCACGCCGATGCACGTTCTTTGCAGCGCACTAGTGAATTTCTCATGTTATTTTGGGATGCGGACTGCGAATGGCAGGTATGCCAATGAGCTTACGTGCAGGCCCAGTTCTTAATGTGTCTTTGTTCATTATTCTCACTTCCGATGTCGCAGTGGTGGACGCGTCGGGCAAGCCAGCCGACGGCCTCCTGGAGGGCACAATGGCATTCATTGGCGCCTTCGACGAGTGCCTGGATACGGTCGTCTGGGACGAGCACGACAGCTCGAGGCTCATCTTCCAAGGCCGCTACTGCACCGCTCAAGTGGCGCCCAAGTTCACGCTGAGAGACCTATTCCACAACGAGTCCCAGGCCCACAAGGAGCTGGCTACGTACCTACCGAAGAAGGCTGTGAGTGTCATCGGACAGCTAAAGAAATAAGTCGAGGCTCTGGGTTACATGCAGCAGCTGACAGAAAAGCAAATAGCTAACGAAAGAGAAAAATACAGCATATAGAAGGAATACAGATTGAACTGAACTGCCGAGAACATTAGGTGGGCTTTTTTACTTAACACGTGAAAAAACGATGCCATTGGCCTGGTGTGCGACTGATGGCGGCGCTGCGAACCATGCTTGTACGACGTCAATTCGAGGATTCGCGCGCTTTCGAGGCGTGCCGCCGTATAGAAACCACCATCGTGGTGAAACTCGGCAGTTCAATTGGTTATCTTGTGTGTGGTGGCTACCGACGTTGTTCTTACAGCCGTGAGTGTCTGCTTTTAACGCTCATTTTATTAGCACAGCACTTCATTTCTTAAAACTGTGGCCGCTTGTATCCGCAGTGACTGCTGCGCTATGGTAAAGTACTGCTCTGTGCCTCTGTGTGACCCAACCGTGAAAAGGGTGTCAGCTTTCACAACTATCCTAAGCACCCGAAGCTGAGGAAGAAGTGGATACTCAAACTCAGAGAGGGAAAGCGCAGCACGCCTCATCAACCGTGTGCAGCAAGCACTTCGCTGACAGTTACTTTTGCTATACCAGCCCTACGCTCCACTTATTGGTAATCTTTCAACCGTGTTTCAAGCCTCGCCAGTACCTCATTCATTCATTACACGCAGGCTACAGGCATAGGCGACTTACACCAGGTGAGGTGCCGTCCCATAACCTACGGTGAGGGCCCCTAGACAGGTAGCCGCCAACGCGGGCTCCGCATCACCTGGGTAAGCGCGCCTCGTGAGCGCAGCTGAGCGGCACAGGGCTTGAAAGACTTTGGTTGGTTTACGTACATATATACGTAGTTCACTGATGAAAATTAGCGTGCGCCTAGCGCACTGCTTATTATAAATTCATAAGCGAAACTTGCTGTCGCTGTTTAGTGCGCATTCACTAAAGGTTGTCACATCTCTGTGGCCCTGTGCGCAGTAAATATAATCAGAGATAGCTATTTGTAATATCAATAAGCAGTGCGCCTAGCGCACTGCTTATTATAAATTCATAAGCGAAACCTGCTGTCACTGTTTTGTGCGCATTCACTACAGGTGGTCACATAATCTTTGTGACCGTGTGCGCGGTAAATATAATCAGAGATAGCTATTTGTAATATTCTGATACCCGAGCGACGGCTCTGGGTGGTATAAATGTGAACTACTTCATGATCTCGCTCTCACTGAACAAACATTACTGAGACAAACTGCAGCCATTTGCATCGGTCAGGAGGTGCATTGAGGCGAAGCGTGCCCCCTTCCCGAGTAACTCCAGCACCTACTCCTCAAGTTATTTCTTACTGCGATAGAACACGGTCTTGAGCCAAGCCGACGCCCGTGGCTGCAATCCAAGCATAATTATCTCAAATTTGGTAATTTGATGCTGCTTTGCAGTTACAGTAGATACCATGGACGGTCAATTGACTGCCAAAGCAGCTGTTTAAACAGCTGCTATGCAGTAATTATATCATGTGTAGTTTGCGAATGCCAGAGTGGCAGAAATCAGTGATTCTCACACATAGTTTCGTGCTCACTGTCACTATCATTGCACTGCAGAAAAAAAAACTCCTAGAAAAAAGGGCAAGTATGCCCTTCTCTTTAGGATTGTTGTGAAGGCTAACGCACATTACGCAGGCGGATGAAGCGCACCGAGGCACAGAGCAGTACTTCTCCATTGCGCAGCACTCAATCACCATGAGGACGTTGTGGGGCGGGTTTGCAAGTCCATTTTGTTTTCAGGACCAGAGCCGCGATGGCGATGCGATCTCCAATCACTGCAGCGGTTGCGCACATGCAACAACGTGGCCTGCGTCGTACACCAACGCGCCGTCAATGAGGCGCCGCGACGTGCCGCTTGCGGTATCTAAATGCTTGTAGATGCTCACTGAGATTTCAAAACACCCGAACTAGTTGGTATCGCACGGCGGGAACTGCAGATGACGAGCGAGAACACTCACGCCGTTTCACTTTCTGACCAGCAATGCGGTCGGCGGCATCGGCGTGCTTATCGGCCATCTGGGAGGTTTCTTGTCCCCGTCAATAGGGCTGCCACTTAAACATATTCGTAATTGCACTCGAAAACATTCGTTGCTGGCGTTATTTGACCCTCGCGAGGCTGTTAGTTCGATAAAGTTCCTGCTCTAAGCAGATGATCCGCGCACAGGAGCAGCGGCTGCTGCAGCGCGGTTGAGAGCGGAGTCCACAAAGTGACGTCACACGTGAGAGAGTGCACTCCCCCTCCACTTCAAGATCTGGAGGAGAATAGAGAAGGTGACCACAAAGAGAAGACAAAAACATTAGCAGAGGAAAGCAAGTCGTCGTATGTCCATGACATGAAAGAGAAACAGCTATTAGAAATTATTTGTCATGAAATCATCATTCACTCTGTGTGCGTGTGCATGTGCGTGTGGATGTGCATGTGCATGTGTGTGTTTGTGCGTGCACGTGCCTGTTAACCACATTCAATGCTCTAGAAAGGTACGCATAGAGGGTGAACAAGTGTGATTCGGCTGGCCAATGCAAACAAAAGGCGCACAACGTCGACCTAGTCTTTGGAGGAAAGGAAACACAAAATGTAACTATTTAGAAGCCTGCCGCAGTTATTTAGTGATTATGGTGATCGACTGATGACCCTAAGGTCGCCGAGACGAATTTCGATGAAGGCGAAAACGCCTGCGGCCCATCTACCTTGATTTAAGTCATGTTAGACAACCCCAGCTGGTCTAAATTTCAGGAGCTCTCAACTAGGCATTTCTCAATATCATATTGTGCTTCTGGTGCGTAAGACCCTAAAAATTATCACTGAACGTTTAGAGTGAACAGAAGCAAAAAGAAAAGAAACAAAAAGCTGAGAGACCATGTATACACACGTAAAGCAATGACAAAAATGGAGTGCGCGAAAAAGAAGCTGAAAAACATGCAGACAGAAAAATAAATAAATAAAGGCATGGAATTCCATCTTTTGGGAATAGAAGTTGTACGACCTGCAAACAATTCAGTTACTTTTATCCACTCGGCTACGAAAACACGTACATTTTCGGAGTCGCACGGAGGTTTTATTTTGCTGAACTTCGTGTTTATTTGCATGTTCTCTCTATTCGAAGTTTCTGTTTTTCTTTGAAGAGAAAGAGGAAAAAGCGCAGTTTTTTCCGTCCCTTTTTTGTTCGCCGGATCACAAGCACCCAGTGTTCAAATTGCCAGCCATTCTGTAAATTATAATTGCAATGTAAAGTGCACCAGGAAATTCGAGCCTTGAGGTATTATTATGCTATGAATCTCTTCAGTGCTTGGCTACTTAGCACGGCATGTGATGCACTAAAGTGTTACAATGTGAGATATAAAGCGGTTACCTTGTCTATGCTATAGAGGCCGCACTGCGTTCAGGCAAAATAAAACAAAAAACAAAAAAGAACCAATAATTTCTATAGTAAAAGGTTGTCTGGAGTGCCCTCGGCAAGCAACCATGGTTGATAAATATTCAATCAATCAATCAATTACTGAAGTCAATTTTTTTTCAAAAACAAAACATTCCTTTTGAGGCGTAGAACCACATAGTATTATTATTATTATTATTATTATTATTATTATTATTATTATTATTGTTGTTGTTGTTGTTGTTGTTGTTGTTGTTGTTGTTGCTGTTGTTGTTGTTGTTGCTACCTTTTTGAATTACGACGGCGGTGCACATGAGCATCCATTTTCGAAAGCGTATAAAAAGACCTTATAGTGATTTTCTCTGTTTTCTCAGATGCTGAAAAATGCACTACGAATTCCGGGAAACCTCGTGATGTTCCGGGTCGGCCTCTGCGTCCCTTCAACATGCTCGAAGGATGACATTGAACGAATGGTAAAATACAGTGAGTATGTCCGCATAACTTCTGAAGCAGTTTAAAACTGAAAGCTTCGAATGTTAAGCGTGGCAAAAAAGTCTCGGTGCGAAGAGACTCCCGCAAGGCAAACGACGTACACGCACACGCATACGCTGTACTGACAACTGAATATAAAATATTACGTGTCATAAATGCCAAAGCGAATTATGGGACATCAAGAGGAATGAGATAAGAAGATCTAACATCGCAAGGTGCCCACAACGCAAAATACGCAAAACAGCCACCCAACCATGGATTGCAACGAAACGTCTTTTTTTTCTTTAGCTTTACTCTTCAATCTGAGACAGATGGCCGCATCCAGAAAAAAAAATTCAACATCAAGAACATAAAAACAGAGGGTGCTAACGCACTTATTACCAAATTCCATACACCGTAGGCTTCTAAATTGTGCGGGCAGTCGTTTCCTTGCTGCTACCTAGACTTTTGTCATCTCTTCAAACCGGGCCAACTTGTGCACTTACGGACATGCGCACTAAATGTGCGTGCTTATCAACTATTCTTTTGCTAATGTTCTGCAAGTTGCCCCAAATGACATTTGCACCACGCCCGCTTTCGCCGACATAGAACATCCCACTTAACATAAAAATATAATACATCACTCCGGTGAAAGATGTGACAAATGGTTTTTCTGGCATCCATATTTACTACTTTTGCAAATACGTGGATGCGACGTTTCCAGCTTACTGATACATAGAAAGAGGCTGACGCGCCGTGCCTACTTGCAACCTTCTTAAAATCATGGGAAAGTTTATGGATATGTGGTATAAGCTCAGGCCAAATGACCTTTCGGTCATCCAAAGTAGTTAAACTTATAATGTCTCAATAAAATCGTAGGGCAGCGATCCTTTCTTAGCCCTTGGGTAGTAGCCGCTGTATACGCGTCCATCATAGAACGTTATCTTACAGAATAAAGACGGCAGAACCAAAAGGTCACGTGATTTGAATTCCGAGTTTATTTTGGCTAATAACATCAATTCTTCACCTACTGTAGAAGGGTAGGTGAGGGCTGGCGGTTTTTTTAAAGCACTAAAATCGTCAACACACCTGAATATTCTTACAACGAAGTACATTTTAAAGAATGGTTCCAGAGTTTTGTCAAGAAAGAAGAGAATGGTAGAGAAGGAAAGGTAGGCAGGTCAACCAGTCCAGGATAACCACTTTACTACCTACACGTGAAAAAAAGATGAGGGAGATTGAAAAAAGTCAACTTTAGCAAGAAATTGTTACACAGGAGAGACACTACGCAAGACCTTATGTATATTCTATCATGCTGCAGAAACGGCTGTTGGTCAAACACAAGAAAAGTTGAGCTAAAAAAACTCATAAAGTTACAAAATGCCCTACCTCTCGAAGCGAATCGTGATGGAATTCGAATGCATTTCTTGCGCCCAGAGAGAGGGTACGGTTGCCGTTAGACATTGGCCTTCACGGACTTCTGCCATCACCTTGAGAGGCGCCCCGCCAGCGAACGGTGAAGAGTGAGGAGTGAAGGAACGGAGGAGTGGGGCGCCAGCGTTCTCGGCTTGGCATTGGCGTTTCACAGCGGCGTCTCAAGCACACATTTCCCGGTGTTCTTGAGAGGCTCTCAGCCAGTGAACGGTCGAGAGTGAGGCGCGAGCGCACGGGAGAGTGTGTCGCAGGGAGGAGAGAGAGGGAACGGCGAGAAAAAAAGTGGGGAAGCCCTGCACCTATCCTCTCCTACACTTTCTCGCTTCACAAGCTGCGTTGCAAGGGGTGAGGAGAAGTGCGTGCATCCACAGCTGTTGCTATGGGAGATGGAAGAAGAGCGAAGAGATAACACCTGCCGGGGCGCGGACGCTACCGACAACGCCGGATACCTGACATAGCACGACTAAGAAATGCATTCGCATTTTAAAAAATACTGAACGGACAAGCCCACAAAGTTATAGGAGCGAATGATATTGTCGTCTTTTATGCATTTCTGGACAGACACCATTAACTGCTGCTGGGAAACATAATAAAAAAAATCCCTCACATGCACAGAAAAACCAAAACCACCATAACTCTAAAATAACTGCGACATTGGCAGAATTATCCCGAGGAGCATCTTAAGCTTCTTTAACAAGAATTGGCTGACCTTCCTCTTCCACTATCCCTCTTCACTAATTATGGTCTTGAACGGAGATTTAGGCTTATGGTTCTTGACTGAGTAAAAAAAAAATCCCTAATGTGTTTTCTAGTTGATTGATATGTTCTTGGCAAGCGTGCTGAGATCTGGTCGCTTACGAAACTCGACAAACGTGCTCATAACTAGTACTTCACTTTTTTTTCCCGGGATCAAAATTCTTGTTTACTGCCGCCAATGCTCTTACATTTTGATTCGCTTTCGAAAAGTTGTGAATCCGCCCTCTTTTTATGCTTGGAAAAGCATCAGGCTATTTCTGCTAAAAAATGCATCATGTGATTTTACATGGCTATTATTGTGCAAGTTCAAAATTCGTCGGAGCAAGCTTGCTCTGACTATCGGCACCTCCATGTAGGCAGCAGTCTCAATTTCAATTTTTTACATTTTCGGTAAATTTCCAGGTCAAAGAAAATAGCTCATGTACAGGAACATCTGGTTGGACACCGAATAAATGGCCTTTAATCAGAATAATCATAAACTTCTCTGTGAACATCACCCAAGAAGTCAACATTGTTCTTTCCTTGCGTAAATTGCATGCCTCCAGTACACAGGGGCAACCGGTTCTTCCTTGCTCTATAGTGAATCAACTAACCCCCATAAAGTATTGATGAATTTTATGTGAATCTTTTATCTTTCCACCGATGATTTTGGGACGTTAAACCCCACAAATCAATCAATCAGTCAGATGTTTGCTGCACAGTTCTAAGGCCAACAGAAACAATGAAATTTGGTGCCCTTATTTTTAAGTTTGGTGCATATTAAGTTCATTCAAGACTATCATGTGAGTTCCTAATAGCGGAAAAACCACACTTTTGTTCCCGCGGAAGAGCGGGGTGCATATGTACGTCACTGACGCAACAATGCCAAAGGTTTTTGTAGCCTCGCATTGACAACTATCATTCAAGTTAATGACACAAACAAAATATTCACAGTTTAGATTATATAATTTTTAATGTAAAAATCTAGCAATGATTATCAGAAAGACTATCAGTGAGAGGAAGTGGCATAGTTAGCTGACACTGATTTTTTGGTGCTAAACATTTTCGTTATCATACGGCTTCATTTTCATAATGGACGAATAATGTTGGTTCTCTCTATTTTTATAATGCTGTTTTTATTTTCAACTGGCAATGAGTGACTTTCTTCGGTGTCTGAATTTCAGCTCGTTTTGCCAAGTACTGCTAAATTTCATGTCCCGATATGTGCATTTTTGTGGAAAGAAGGTCTGTCCTTGTGTTCTTTGTTTTTATCTGCATCAATAATTATTGTGTTCTTTTCATTTACAGCCGTGAAACACATGGACATGAAAGCCGAGGTGACCGAATGCTTACAGAGGGAGAAAAATAAGTCACTGTCTGTCATTCAAATCACTGTCATGTAAGTAGTCAATAGTCGATCAAGGAAAACATTGCATTCATTTAGGTAATATAATATTGATATCATATGAACTCATACACATGCCTGAATGCGGATCAAATAAACATAGCCCTTGGTAAGCGCGCAGAGGCAGCCTTGTGTTGTGAGAATATTTAAAATGAATGGTCTTGGAGACAAATATTATAGGAACTTGCTACAGGTGCTTCATGTTTAACACAGGGAATGGATACACTTTTTCTTTTGCTAAGATGGAAAAATCATACATAGGTAGAATTTCCTTTATACAGACTGAACCTCCTGAGTGTGTTTTTCCTGCAAACTGAAGATTTTGAATATTGTTTATCAAGCTATCAGTTGTAGTAAATACAAAGGCGATATATTTTATTGCTACAACGCATGACTGACATTGAATGCAACACATTTTGGAACAAGGCATTTAGTGCCAGCTGCTTCTTGTCTACATAAGTACAACTGTAACTTGGCAGTAGGGGAATTGCTTCAATCTTTCTCGTTGAGCTCAGTGAATGCCAACATAGGCAACGCCAACGGGGTGTAATAAACGACTGAAATCAACGAGCTTTAAACTGAGAAAAAAAACATTCTCTGCTGCGAAGGTTATTCTTCGTTTGATCAGAGCAGTGCCTCAAAAGCGCCGATATATTGACGCTTGTAGGTGCTTTACGCAACTTCCTTCTCAAGAAATGCGACATTTGCCTTCGTCTTGATATGTTTGTGAGATGGAATGTCCCCATACAACATAAGATCTTAAGTACTTAAGCGAATAAAAGCGAACAAAGTACTTAAGCGAATAAAAAGAGCAAGAAGGTGGTTATACTCAGAATAAGCTTTATCTTCTTAATAGAGACGCAGTCGTAGAAAGGCTAGCGAAATCACCACAAAAGCCAAGCTCACTATCCACAAGATTCGTGGGGTGCCATACAAAGGAGCCATGGCTACCTTCTCGTTTTTATTTTTGACTTCATTAATTTTATGTTTGAGCACTGCAATTACCAAGCCCCAGGGAAGATTTAGCCATCGGCACTCGTCGGTAACAGTGGTGGCTTTGGGCAGCCAGTAAACTGCAATATGAATATCTTATATTGCAGTATTTATAAATTGCATATATTTTACAGAAGGAAAGAGAACAATGGGCATCAACGCATGCATATATATCTTGTGCGGTGTAGTTATACATAATTTTCACAAAGTGTGATGGTGCTCTCAGCAAAAGCCAGGCAGAACCGGAATAAACTAAAAAAATGGTTGTGCAAGCTTACGCTTTGTATTGTGAGGTAAAGCTTGCACGGAAGCGATGGCAACAAGAGCAGTCGTTGAATTCTCCCATTTGCATTTTTCAGTGTTTATACTTTTTTCCGGGTATCGTCACTGCCAGGGGATGAAATTCATGACGTGCTAAAAGAATCTGTTAGTGCCTCTACACAACCTCAGAAACGATGAGCTTATTTCACTCGATATTGCAACATTTCATAACCGTAAGTGATCTAAGATTTCGATCGTGTCCTCACCTGATGGGCCTTTTTCTAATCCGTACAGCACACCAAGTGGAGATCATTGAAATAAAAACTGGTGGCACTTGGTCTCCGAAATTGTGTGCCGCATGCCGGTAGGCAATCTCTGAGACCTGCGTTCGCGCATCTCTTTCGAGAAAACATTTGCATGTTTGTGGCACCAGATATCGCTTGGTCCGCACGTGCTTTCATGTTTTAGCCTCCAAAAAATCATGGCGCGTGCCTCCTCTAAGCCGGCGCGCATGTACAGACCACCTACCCGGAAAATTCCATGTTAGGAGAACCACGTAGCTAGGGCAGATTTCAAGCTAACGATGGCCTTCTCGAGTAGCTCAAGAATTGTGCTTCCCAATGAAAGTGGTGTAGCAGGAGCTACTTATAAACATGCATATTAATACCTCTACACTCGTTTGTCACTTTAACACTTCAGTACTGCTGGAGTTGAGAATATTTTGCTGGTTCACTAAGAAACACAATATGTAACATAAGCTAGGTGTAAAGAAACACATCACGATATTACGGATTGCACTGGTGAAGCCATACTCTGCGGTTTGGAAGGCCAACAAAAAAGCATGTTTTAAATTCTAACTAAGCTGTGTAGCATATGCTTTTTAGTGAACGAACTGAATATAGTAAGTAATAACTTTGCTTCTTCTTCCGCAGCACGTTACTTGCAGCTTTCCTGTCGCTGACGATCATAGGCACCGTTACGGACATCACAATCAAGGAGCGACGTCATCCCAAGGCACCAGCCTCCGAGAAACATGGTGAAGACTTCGTTATTGTGTCACTCAGTATAGAAATTCGTGGAAAAGAATGAGACTGTTTCAGGTTGCATTTGAAGTTCTTTATTATTGTTGTTCCTTTGTAAGATCTTCAGTTGCACATTATTAACAACAAAGAACGCTACATACCGTAACGGTTCGAGACGAGCCACCGTAAACCACCAAGAAAAAGGTAAAATACAGAAACGTTATTACAAGTATGGGAATTGATATTACCTTTGACCTTGAGATCCTTACTTTTCTAAAACATTATGTCCTATGTTTTTGATGTTTTATACCAAGCCCTGGCTGGACTCTTTATCCACAGCTGGTTTTCCAGATTTCAGACATTTCGAGAAAATTATAAAGTTTGACTTAGGCTGTTGAGATGAATAAATTTCATTTATCTAATTATGGTACTCGGGACTAGGCTGCAAGATGTCTAACGCTTGTAAAACATCCTCCGAGTTTCCCAAGGATGGCCCTGGCCGGCTGGAAGACACACTCCTGGTCTTCGGGGGCCTCACTGAGGTGGAAGATGGCTTTCCATCACTCAGCGATGCACCCCGCTTCATGGGGTCCTTCTGATATTTTTCTGCTTGCTCTTGGTCGTTCTTCCTCGTGCGGTTTGTAGACCCTAAGCGCATGGGCTCACACCACACTTATGTTTTCACACGGGCAGCCATGCCACATGCGCAGCGCGGTCACAGGGGTTGCAGGAGGTAGGGGTTGGTCAAAATACTCGTCTGCAGTTGCCTGAGGTCGGCGCCTGGTATCTGTCCAGCCTGGTGTGGGGCTGTTCGCATTTTCGCGATCATTCCTTCCATCAAGACTCCACCGAGGTGACGCTACTGTGCGGCGTATATTACAATCGGGCGTTCCGTTCACCCATGCTTAATTATTCCGCATACAACTATTTCCGGCGAGGTGCGGTGACACTTATACATGCACCATTGAACATTCGAGCATCATTGCTGGTAATTTTGTAAGCTGTAGAATTAACTTGACTATTCGCGCCAAGCGCACAATATTATCAGAATAAATTCAAACAATCGCGAAGCTTCCCAAACGCTGAAGCGTGGTCTGCGCCGAGTATTGATAAGTTTTTTTATTGTAAAATGCGAATACATAAAAATCAGGCAATAGACAACCATGATAATATGTATATAAGTTGTCCCTGATACCATACAAAAAATCAAACAGCACCCTTGGTGCAACACGCGTCTACAAAGCAACTTGGCTAACTGCACAAGTGATGTGATGACTACATGCTTCGCATACCATGGATGACTTCCGTTCAGGGAGGTTGCCGAGTGCATGCTCCAATCTATATGCGAAATATGGCACTCGCTGACCAAGAAGCCTAGCGCAGGCGTCAGGTTAGGCAAGGTCCCTCCAGTTCTCAAACACGAAGCTGAGAGCATGCGCAAACACCAATCAGAGTGACTAATCAAGTAAGCAATGATAAGGGCAGATATTATTTTGCTTAGTTTTTTTCTTCAGCCGTACTCCTTACCAACGCCCCATTTCGAAGCGCAAACACTCATAATACCGAGCCAAGCAGCTAATAAGCTATAACCCTAATAAAGAGGAGCCCCATTACCATTACCTTACCAAGACTTCGCGGCTAATACGTTAGTCTTTAAATTGAACTCGAAGTCCTTTCATCAGTGCTGTTGTGTCGCACGAGAAAAGCTTGGGTGCGCCTTTACTCCTACATTCTTCTTCTTGTTTTGTGGTAAAACTTTAAATGCCAAAAAAAATACCTACGACAAACTAGCACCACGAAAACTTTTGAATGCGATGTACTTGAAATCGATGCACTTTTTCCCATTCCAATAGCGCAAGTACACAAGTGTCTACTAGCTAACTAATTTTGTCTTAGTGACTAATAATTGACTATAGAAAAATGATATAACCTGCGTGAGGTGACTGCAACCATAACACTTGACGGAACACCGTATAACAGATCAAGAGGACTAAATACACCTCTTTGAGCTTGTGCTGTTTTGTTTCAAATTTCGAGAAACGAATATTTCTGGGTCAAACAAGAAATTGTTGAAAGGAATGAACATGGTACCGAGTTTTCTTCTCTTTTCTTTGAGAATCCCTAGCAGAAATTCTGCTGCGATGTTTAGTAATGCTGGCCATTACAACAGTGTTTGGGCTCATTCAAAGCTTTATGTGCTGCCGCTGCAGGAAGACCCCTAGAGGCACTGTTGTGCTTCTCGGCGTACACCAACGCGCGCCAGCTTTTCGCACCAGAGGACAAGCCGGACAGTCTTCGGGTGCTTCATGGCATCCGCTTTCTCTCCATGACGTGGATCATCTTCGGCCACAGCTACTTCTTCATCGAGCACGTGCAGCCCTTCCGTAAGCGAGTGCACACTCATTTTCTTCATTGGGCCATTGGTGGGCAACCGCCATGGTGTAAAAACGCAAGCTTTTGGGACATTTTTTGCGGGAATTATTGCGGCGTGAAGTATCTTCTACTAGCTGAGAAAGCTGGCATCCTTGTTTCAAAGTCGAAGGGCTCGAGATGCAGTCGACAGCATATTATATTATTTGCTGCTCGATGTAAAGATTTTGTTATCCTGTGAGTTTGTACTAAAGCACGGTGTAACACTGTGCTCATCAGAATGACTACTTGTTTTAGACAAGTGAGCAGCAAGGCTAGGTCCACATCTGTTCTTTCGAACTGCTGCTCACTCTAGCGAATCCAGCTCACTTGTGGTCTCAGCGGCTGTAGTAGTTCACTTGGAAGCGAAAGCTTGTGTGATTGTAGCGACATGTAAATGCAAATTGCCTAAAAACATTTCTCCAAGCATAGTTGTGCTTTGTAGTCACGTTGTGTGTGGTGCGAAACCTTCTTGTTCAACCGTGAAAGCGCCTAGACTTTTTTAAACGCACGCATACCCGCCTATGATCCGGAAGAAGTTGATGAATTATTGCCGCTGAAATCAGCACATAAAAGATTTTAAGTCAGTTACATGCCGGGTTGCCAGATTCTCGAAGAGAAATATAGTCACAAAACAGCCAGAAAAGTAGTCAACTGGTAACCGTGATAGTATTTTAAAGTCAGATAATCAGCCAAACATGATGTCAGTGTAGCTGAATTATCGCGACATTCTCAAGCTCAAAATACAAAATTACACATCACAGCAATGCTTATCACATCAAAATATAGTGAAAAAAAGATAAGGTGACTTCCTGGTGGAGGCGTTCAGACTATAGAATATTGGTGGTTTATACTGAACCGACAGTCAAGAGTGCATAATAGAGTTCACTTTTGCAAGCATGCACCGTGGCACTAGTATTGTAAAGTAAGCGAAATACTTGGTATTTTTCAGTAATTGTAGCGCAGTTTCTTAGCCACGATAATCTACAACTTGCAACACCTTTCATACTTAGTCCATATTTCATACCGATGATCGTGACAAGTTCGACTGACATTAGATTCTTTAGGTCATTTTTTGTAAGAAGCACAACGTAAAACACTTGATACACTTCTGCATTGAATTTAGAGAAAAAAATCATTGCGCTGTGTGCAATGTCTTGCATAGGATTAGCACCTGATGCATCCCGGTAGGTTTTTATTTTGATCCAGATTTCTATTTCTGGCACGACGGCCTCCACATCCTCAACTTGACGAAGGTGCCGTACTTGCTCCTCAATGTGGGCTCGGGGCAACCAAATACGTTTTTTGATAAAGTTTTCAAATTGTTCATTGTGTTTGGCCCCAAAACAGATGGCGTGATGTGCAGTCCGCATCTACTGGAAAAGCAAGCTAGATCAGTTGTGCTTTTCCCATGCAATGTTTTCTTTTATTGCATATGTGGAAACAGATCGTGCAAACAACAGCTTAGACGCATCCACGTAAGAAATGCACGCGGTGAATCGCGCGCGCACACAGTGAGGAAAACGGGCCAATCATTTCCAAAGAAATAGAATGGAACAGTCGACACAACAGGTGTCCTAACTGAGTGCACGAAAAAAATTGAAGTACAAAAGGAAGACACCTGAACACAGCGCAAACTAACAACTGAAACTTTATTGGAGAAAACAGACTTATACATGCGGTTACGAGAACACGTGCGGTGAACACGCACTCAGTTAAGATGAATTACCGAATCACCCAGCATTCCGTGCTTCTCAAGTGTAACAAACGTCATGGCTTACAATTTCAGCAGCATCGGCAGTGAAAATAATAAACCAGAATGAAAAGGGAGTGCAAAGACAGCGAGATGTGTGCCTTTTGCGCAAAGCTTGTATGAGTCGCGGGCATCCAGTTTTCGCCAATGCTCACCCGCAGGGTGGCGCCACCTATAGAGCTCAAAGCACTGGCGTGGGAGGCGGAGAGCAAGTAGAAACTAAGCCTGAATGAGTTCAACGCCAGCTACGTTACAGTATGAGTTCTAATAATAATGTATATTAATAGCCTATATAAGTTCCATAATGTACATTATTAACCTATATGAGTTACTATAATAGCGTGAAAACCATGGCGGCCGGGACGCGTTTTGGGCGCACGCAATCGCTTCCGGTATGCTGAGTAATGAAATGCGAGTACGCCGAAGGAGCTGCCGCCGGCAGTGTAAATAAACACTTAATGCTATTTTTGGTAGTTGCGCTCTGTTTTAGCGTATATTAGCTGTTGTTGCCAGCGCCAGAACAATAGCCAGAAAGTAGCCAAGTAGCCAACCTCAGTTTTTTTTTGTCACCACAGCCTTTTCAAAGTAGCCAATCTGGCAACCCTGGTTACAGAACTTTAAAATGTTTGGCGCATTCAGCTGGGAATGTTAAACTGGTGTTCTCTAATTAATCAAACAAATAGACGATATCGAGTATAAGGTGATGGTACCATGGCGTCATTATGATCAAATCATTCACGGGTTACTAATCATAATACTCAATGATCATATTGCGTGTTCTTGTTTGTTGAAGCGGAAAAGAAAAGCAAAGGACAAGCAGGGAGGTTAACAACGTAGAACCCGGTTTGCTACCTTACACGGAGAAGGGGAAAGGGGAAGAAAAGAACAGAGAAAAGAAGGGAGGTAATACAATACACCAGCACGCATAGCAGCATGTAGTGCGCATGCCCGGAATCGCAAAAACTGTGAATTGTGACAGAAAACGGTTCGACTTCGGTTGTCTCAGCTGAAGTACGCTGCAATACATGAGATAAAAGGAGGGGAGGCTCCCAGGGACTGGCTTCAAGGTATCCAGAACTGTGTGACAAATTTTACATTATCAGCGTAAGGGTCCGCAAGGCACTTACTGTTGTATATAACTTTCTATGCTAATGCAGTTTCGATAACAATCAATGAAAAAATGTAAAAAGTTCGTGAGAAGCTGTTGCAAGATCTTTTTTTTTTTTTGTCACAAAAAAGGACGAGATCTCTTGAGTGGTTTATGATCATACTTACGTTTTAGCTGGCACTGAAACACTTTTGCTAGAGAAAACGCACAGTGTAAGAGAGAGACAGTTGGTGCTCTATGCTTGTATTTAATTGCTTGACTGGAAGTAGTAAATTGATTGTGTTTCATTTCTGTGCATACAAAGTGAACGCCAATGTGTCCCTTTACACCGCTACGCATGTCTTCCACAGGCGGATTGTTCAATGGCCACGAGATGTACTCGGACAATTTCTTCTTCTCCGGCATCATAAATTTCACGCTGGCCGTAGACTCGTTCTTTTTCATCAGGTGAGAATTAAAGGGCACGCCCGTTTCATTTACCTAGACTCTAGTCGAGCGTAAAAAGCAAGGTATTGACTGCGTTCAACTCAGGTATTCTAAATAGAGAATTGGTAGTGTGCTCTTGCCTAGTCTCACGGTCAGTATTAAGTGATGTCATAATGCGAAAGTTTCTTATTCGACCATTGTCCTTCTTTTGTTGCACTTTGAAAGAAAAGAGCGAATGGTGCCTCTACAAAGACCTAATATATCTTTATATAAAAGTAATACGAAGAACACTGATAGGAAATGACAGGTCATGACTGCTAATTTCAATTAAGTGTTTTATTTGCAACACAACGCCAGGTTACCGCCCTTAGAAATAACCTCCATTAGATAATTTTTGACAGAGATACTGAATAAATGTTCCTTTCGTGTATCAAAAGTATTTGGCTTCAATTATCAATGTAGTTTGAATTATTTATTACTTCAAAGCTGCTTACCTTGAATTATGTCTCGCTGGCGTCCACTTGCTGACAAAATAAACAAAACCAACATAAACAAAAAGGGAGATGGCACAGCTGTCGGAGCGCGCTTACACGATGGAATTGCCCCGTGGCAGTCTGGTGGGGCTTCTGCACTATGACTTAGAACCAGTGTGAGAAACCGGAGAAGACCAGATACCAAGGCTGCAAAGTTGGTTAACACCGGAGAAAAAAAAAAGCTTACAAAATGGAAAGGGAAGCAAGCAGCATCGTGACTATTTACAATGATAGCATTTTTCACGCCAGAGAAATGAACGGACAGGTGTATTTGGGAGAAATGCGCGTACAGCGTCGATCGTCCGTCCCCATATGATTGGTGCTCCTCAATTTAGCTCAATTCAAAGGTTTACCCTCATTTTTTGAACATTCTCAAACATGCACGTAAATAATCGATTGATTAAGATCTGGTTAAGAAAAAAAACTGTTAAACCTATTAAATTAGGCCCTGTTTATATTACACCCTTAATTAGGCTTATTATTCCAGTTTGAAAATAAATTACTCGAAAAAACATTTTGCAAGACAGCGCTGCTGCGCTGCTCTGAAACGAAAACATTCTGTGATGTACAATAAGACAACCTGAACTATATTCACTATATTCTATAAACCTATCAGTCCATCTTGTAGCTATCTTTATGTGTATAAGAACACGTTTTCGTGTTAGCGGGTGATATTTTTGCGTACCGTACTGCAGATGAAGCGCGAAAGCACTGCTGGGTCACCAATTTACAAGAAAAAACTCCCCGAAGATGTCTTCTCCGCAAGGTAGAAATTTCTGCGGAGAAGCCTGCTTTGTAGAGGGGCTTCACTTTTACAAGATGGGGTCTCCTGATGCATTCGAACTATTTGCGCTTTTCATATTGGACAGCAATGTCCATAGGTCTTGTCTCCTCAGGCAAAGTGCACTTAAGAAGCATTTATTTTTGGAAGGAAATGCGAAATCGCCCATGTATATCAGCTCTGTTGTCCGACTATTTCGCTGTTTAAGCTGAAATTGAAGCCTGTTTGAATAAAAAAATTATCAATGCTTTTGCTTCATCTATTGTGGATAAGGCGGAAGAGGAGAGTTAAGTAGGTGACCACCTGCGTTTTATTTTTATCACTCACGCCACGCAAAAGACATCACCACCACCTCAGCCTGTGCGTTATCACCGAGGTGGTGACAGGTTCGCAATTGCCAATGGAATCACTGGATTGCCCGTACTACACATACTCTCAGGTTTCATGGGAGTTGGGCTGCATTAGGCGCAAGATTTAGAGCTACACTAATGTCAACACAAGGACATTGTGCGAATATTAAATACAAAATTTAGTCGCTTTCTTCTGTCAGATTTACAAGAGTCTCTCATTTATTTCAGCGGATTGCTGGTCGTTTACACCAACTGGAAAGAGCTCACGGAGTCTAACGGTCGCCTCAACGTAATCAGGTTCCTGTTCAACAAATACTGGAGGTGAGAACAAGACTGCTAATTACGTATGTTACTGCGCACTTTACGCTGTGTAAAGAATATCCGCTTCATTGGTATTTCCGTAACCCATATTTGTCCTTATAATCATTGAAACATCTACTGCTTATTGCACTTGACGCCTTTGTTGGTGTCACTGCTGGAAAATTTTACAAAATGACTAGAGCAACAAACAGTTGTTACTCCTAGTGGTGTATGCATGGGTGTAAATAATAATGAACTGATTGATTAAATAAATACTGTTGCTCGTTATCATATGACCTAAATGGTTCTTGTCATTAGCAAACTGTTTTCGATACTTTTAACTGCACGGTATTCGATGTTTGCTACATTCGAAACAACACAGGGAAAACGGTCAGTTACCTCTGTTGCCATTACCATTACAGCTCACCATTTCAAAGTATAAAATGGTATAAATCGGAACGTTTCTGCCTTTCCAAATGCAATTGAATAGTGACATAAAGTTTGTCTATCAGCTGAAGCTACGCCTGCCTCCCAGCTGAAATACCGTCGGAGTCGGCGGTGTCAACATCACTGCGGCAAATCGTCATGTGACGATTCCATCATTGACAATGTCATGATGTCACTGATGGCCAAAATTTATGACGCCACTGTGACGTCATAATGACGCCGCCTAATGATGCCATAATCACGCGAACATGACTTCACGTGAGGACCTCATGAGCCATCACGATGGTCTAGCGATTATTGTGCTTGAATGCTTACCCTAAGGTCGCGGGCTAGAATCCCTGCTGCAACTGCTACATTTTCAATAACGGCGGAAGTCCTAGAGGCCTGTGTGCTTACATTTAGATGCACGTTAAAAAACTCAAGGGTCGAAACTTTTTGAACTCTACACTACGGCGTCCTTTATAATCTTACGGAGGTTTTAGGACGGTCAACTCAATCAATCAATCATTAACTTATTTATTCATTTAACGTGCCCACGAACAAACATGAGGTCTTTGTGTTGGCACACGCAAAAATAAAACAATAAAATAAACAACACAGTACAAACTGCCTTCGGGAAAATTAATAAATAAAAATAGCGCAAACGCACAGACAAAAAGAAATCAGCGAAAACAGGAAATAATAAAAACAGAAGACGAGAATCAAGAAATGGGAGTGAAAAATAGTGTAGAACGCACACAACTATGCAGAAGGCTTCCTGAAAGATGAAAGAAGGAGAAATCTGTACATTATGAAACACTAAGTTAAAACAGCTCAAAGCTGAGATAAAAACAATGACAGTGGACTATGAAAAACACCCAGATCAATGAAGTTAACAATATAGAAACTTTGTATTCTGTGAGCGGCTGAGTGTTGAAAGATTTTGGCAGGTACTTAAAGCAGTCGATTCCTTCTGGTTAGCTCATGCAGAATATGAAAATTTATACAACTTAGGAGCAAAGGGAAGCATATCATACCGTGAACTAGCTTGTAAAGAAATAACATGTCAGCGCGATTTCATCGGCAGTGAAGTGCTGGAAATGATATTATTCTGGCAGTGTTAAAATGAGATCCAGAGTCATTTTTAGCAAAACGGTGATTGTAAAAGCTTATGATTTTTTTTCTGGACTTGCTCAATGACGTTACTGCCGGATTTAGAAATGTCATTCCATATCCCAGATGCATATTCTAGCTGAGTAAGACATATTGCGGTGTACACTTTCTGGAAGGCTGTAGGAAAATGGAATTCTCGAGAGATTCTGCAAACACAGCTGAGAGGATGAAGTCCTTGCATAGCAGCACGCTTAGTATGAATAGAAAAGTTTAACATGCTATCGAAAAGAACACCAAGACCACTGAACTCATAAACCTTACATAACGACAGAGTATTTACAGAGTATAGAAATGACACGATGAATGTTTTGGGAGATATACTTATGAATATGGTCTTTTGGGTATTCAGAGAAGAGTTAATAATAATGATTAATATTATTGTAAGATATTGTCGCTTGGTCGATGTGGGCTGATCATGGAAGCAGTGCACTAGAACGTTATGTACGGAAAGGTATCGGAGAGGGCCGGGGGAAGATAAATACTTCGAATCAGGAGAAAACGACGTGGAAGATGGCTTTCGCCTCAAAGGCATTCAGGTTAATGCATAAGAGACGATGTGCTTTTTCAGCTTTTATATTATTAATTTATTTTTTGCGGGGTGTAGAACGTTAGAAAACGGATGTCTATTATAGCATTCAATTTCTAACAAAACCGACGCATACTTTAAACGCTGTTCTGCAGCCAGAGATTGTGATGCAGTATGCCACGACCATATTTCACCAACTGCTAAGATCCACATAGTATAATGACCAAATCTTATAGAATCGATTATATATGGCGTAGCTTGGAGAGAACAGAACTTTCTGTGGACATGTAGTGAAATCAGGCGTGGTGTTCGCAGGATGATGCCACCACTTCTTCTGTCCCTGGGTCTGCTGTTTCTGATGCCTGTACTGGGAGACGGCCCTTTCTGGAACGACATCATGGGTACCGAAATCAAGCTCTGCGAGAAGTCCTGGTGGTCAAATCTTTTGCTCATCAACAACTTCTGGGATTCCAAGGAGATGGTCAGTGCACTGCTACAGGAGCATCCATCCATGCGCTTCGATCTGAGCCCGCTGATTAGAAGGCTAGGTGTACGGAAAGGGCACTGCAGCAAAATTGCGTATGGTTATCCGCGGCTTACATTATAGGTACAAAGTAACTGTCAAAGATGGCATAAAAAAGTGAAATGCTCGTAAAAGATTCCAAGGCTTATCTTCAGGAATTGTATAGCAATTCATATCCATATTCACAAAGAATTTTTTTATGATTGAGTTGTTTATTAAAGCCGGCGCTAATCGGCATTTTTTATTGCTATATGGGGTTTAACTTCTCAAAATCACCATATACTAATCGGTATTCTTGTGTTGATTATAATTAATATTGTGTGTATATTGAGTGGAGATAGGGTGACATTGGCGTTGTAAAACACGCCATATAAGTTCATAACCATCTGAAAAGAGAACATTCTTTTTTTTTACTTCGAGATTTCTCAACTGGTTCTATTTTCAAGCAACAACCCTTCAACAAGGCATTGAGTACGAAAATATCTTTTTACCTTTTTTTATGAGGTTGCGAATACGGTCATTACCATGTTCGTTTTTCTTCTTTTTTTCTGTCAATTAAAGTGACTTATTCACACATGATGAACACTGTGGGAGACAAAAAAAAAAAGCTTTTGATTCAAAGTTCCCAGGTGAATATATACAGGTGGCTTTTTTTCAGACTATGGATCTTTTACAAAAACCTCATGACAGACTGGCTCCAGTCATTTCCTCACCCAATCTCTACGTCGAGGCAAAAATGCTTCGTCGCAGTTCGATTGATCTGGCATAGACTGCTTGCTACATACTCATTTATTAATTTAATAATTATCGATTCTAAAAAAAGTTGTTTATGCGAGAAAATAGTAAGCCATCACAATTCACGGCAAAACCATTTTTCAAAAATGACAAATGTTGTACTCATTTTGAAATATTCCACGCCGATTCTTAAGGCGGGTATCGAAACTAACCGCGGCCGGTGCGCAGTAAATGTGAGCGCTACTAAACGTCAGACTGGAAGTACTCGTGATGAGAAAAAGACGAAATGTGAATGAAGGCACGTCGAAGTAGAATTTAATCAGTAAGAACTACAAGTTGTCTGAAATACACAAGTAGACCACTTATTGTTTTGTGCAATGCGTTAGGTGTTTCATAAACAGGCACAAAAAACTTCACCTGTTTGCAAGAACCTCCACAGCGGCTACCCATGTATTTTATGCTGTACTGAGAAAGAACATGTGAACATTAAGGTTTCCTTGTGTACAATTCAAAAGAAAGAGACCAAACATCACACGCGAAGGAAAAGCGACCCAATGACTAAAGTGAGACGACTGGAAGCTTTTCCGACAAAACACTGCCGAGACGCTTTCGTTGAAATTTCGTCATTTTCTCGTCACTAAATGTTCCGGTCTGACGTAATAGAGTGGGCACGTTTCTTGTGCACCTTTTGGTGGTCGATTTCGGTAGTGGCCTTAAAATTTCATTATGAATATCTGAAAATGCGTCCAGCTTGGGCGATTTTTAAAAAAAATGTGGATGTGCCATAAATACTCTTGTCTAACGGCTTTCCAATATAAACAACTTGCTGGGAGTCCATAATTAAAACGTTCGCTTAAATTACGGCGGGGTATTTCCGCCTCGATCTTAAGTTAGTGTGCAAACCACAGGAATCCTCCTGTCATAGCATTTTGAAACATTAAAAAACGCCCTCTATATTTCTGTGTTGCGTTTTCTATCGCTATGAAACTGCTATCTTGGTTCAGTGTGCTGAAAAACTGCTGAACTGATAAAAGTAGCTTCAGTACATGCATCATCACGTATCGGGAAAGACGTGGCTTTTATACTTACATAAGCTTCCCTTGTTTTGACGCTGTCCGACAACAGTTTGGCATTTTATTGTGAGAATATTGTTACTAAAGTAAACTCAATGAACAGAAAGATTAGTAAGCAAAGGTTGCAATGCTGCAAGAGAAGAGGAGGGAGAGCAGGAGGATAAAAGAAAAGCGGATGCCTAAGTGTGATTCGCAGTAACACGCTCCCAAAGTCTTGTCGACAGTGAAGGAATTGCCTGGTCTTTTACGGGGAGCAGAAACATTGTTGTGCTGTCTGCGCGTGGATGCAGCATTCATCAACGCATCTTCATTGAAGATTAAAAGGGCGTATAGCTCTTAGCGCAATGACGGCTTGGTTGAGGAGGCTGCCTGCCATTTGCAAGGGAAAAGCAGCAGTTCCGTAAAACAGTACATCACCTAGACAGCAAAAGATCAAGAAGGGAAAAAAAAGGCAGGAAGGTCAACCAGATGAAGGTACGGTTGTCTGCACTTCGTTGGGAGAACACGAAGTTTATCAAATATACTTACTTCACGGATTAGAAATTTGGTATTTTCTCTTGACAGCTAATTTTTTTCAGGGCTTGATATGTGAGGAAGTTCTTTTATTGCATTGTCCATACTTCCAACAAGGGTTCTACTCTAATGTATCATCAGGGTGATTTAAGTGCAAAATTATGATTCGTGTGCGCAGTATTGTAGAAGGCCTAAAACATATCGGCGCTATATGAGAACACCGTACATTCCGCCAGCAGTCTTTTTTATTTAAGTGTTAAAAGAGGTTTATATATGACACCATTGTCTCATATAGTTTAAAAAGTGCACTACTTTGATGCTTTATATTCAGTAATACAGTCAGTAATTATTTTTACCTCTGCAGTGTCTTGTTGCCACGTGGTACCTGGCGTGCAACTTCCAGTTCTTCATCATTTCTATTTTCATATTAATACCATTGTACAAGTAAGTACAGCCACATTATATTACCGCATTGTAAGTAGTATACTCACTACAAAATGAATAGATGCCGAGACTCCTGCTAAACAGGAAGAAAACAAATTAGGCCTAGAATTTGACAGCTGTATGCTGGGACATCCTTGACAATGCATTGTACGCTCAAGGGTACTTACAAGCTCCCTTAAGCTATAGCCAGAGATGTGTTCATCCAGATTATAATGATGATTATAGTAACAATAATATTAGTAGTAGTAGTAGTAGTAGTAGTAGTAGCATTAAAACGCAACATGTTTGGCGTGAGCTTTGAAGCGATACCACTTATTTGGTTCCGCTATCTCCCGTCTTGCACAATCACAATTCACAATGATGGAGCACATATCAACCACAAAGTCAAAGTAAAGGAATCTCAGTAATACGGAGCAATGGGAGACTGTGCTGCTGAGCCGGGCACCATAAAAACAAGTCTGGTTCAGGGACACCACCAGAACTGAAGAGTTACCGGTGGCCGTAGGCTGGTGGACTTGGTCTCTCTCCCCCCGCCGCGGTGGTCTAGTGGCTAAGGCACTGGGCTGCTGACCCGCAGGTCGCGGGTTCATATCCCAGCTGCGGCGGCTGCATTTCCGATGGAGGCGGAAATGTTGTAGGACCGTGTGCTCAGATTTGGGTGCACGTTAAAGAACCCCAGGTGGTCGAAATTTTCAGAGCCCTCCACTACGGCGTCTCTCATAATCATATGGTGGTTTGGGGACGTTAAACCCCACAAATCTATCTATCTTAGTCTTTCTCCCCTGCTGGCTACAAATAAAGCTATTGATACTCGTCATCTCACCTCATGTCAGCAGTGTACCAGTTGCCAGGCGAGCATACAGCCACAAAAAACTTCATTTATACTTTTTAATCGAATGAAAAGTGCATTTCTGGCTTCCATTGAATGAAACCGTTTACAGTCCTCCTAAGTATCAGCGCTGAGAAGTTAGATGATCAAATGTAGTTGGTGCACAGAAAATAACACGAAGAAAGAAATGCGTCCCAGTGAGTGCAGCATACGGGGTTTTGATATAGCGCAAGCTGGCGATGGGGAATCATACATGTAGCATGATAAGCGAGCAAAAGAACGTTCAGCTGGAATGCATGCGAATGATCCCCTAAAATATTGCATGCAGTGCCATAAGAAGCACTTTCAAAACTAATGCAGTCCGTAAACCTGGTATAGACGTTGAATACACGCCTTTTTCAACAAAGAAACGCATGAGCATGTTTTGCAATGTCCACTAAGCTGCTATCGACAAGCTTCGGCAATGAACTTAGTCAAGCTTTTAAAGGTAGCTATGGTACATTTGCATTTCGTGAAGTGCTGTAGACAAGGCCCCAAGAACTGCAATGCCAGCACCTGTTAAAGAACCCAAGAGCTATCTAGAGCCCTCCACTACAGCGTGTCTTATGTCCTTAGTCGTTTGAGTACGTTGAAGTCCGTAAACCAACCAAAAATGCTTCTGTGCAACTTTCAGGGGGCACTAAGGAAAAATATGACAGCTTTTTCATAATCACCGTATGGAAGAGCATATAAAATGACATCCACAGCATCATGGGCATCCTGGAGCGCCGAACCAGAAAGACAAAAACAGCATATGAAGGCGTTATCACTGCGCTCTGTCTCGTGCTACGTGTTGCCTATAAAACAATAACCACAGCTTTCCTTGACCAAAGATTTTGTAGCCTTACAATGTTCGAACTACCTTTCGTCAGGCAAAGAAGCTTTATTATAAAGTAACATCGAGAAGCAAGAAACAAGCGTTCGTCCAATTTGGCTGCGTCAACGCGTCGTTCGTTCTGAATCTACCTCGTCCTTGCGCAGACTGGATTTCCTTTGGTTCACGGAGTTTAACATCCCTAAGCGACTCAGGCTGTGAGAGAAGCCGCAGTGAAGGGCTCCAGACAACTTTGACCGAGTAGCGCTGATAGACGTGCGCTGACATTGCCGTGTACACGGGCCTCCAGCATTAGCCTCTATCAAAATGTGACCGCCGTGTCCTGGATTCAAACAGAGTCGTCATGGTCAGCAGCCTGGCATCGTGACCACCAATCCAGTGAAGTGGCACTCTGGCTGAATTTTTAACCTTTGTTCTGCGACAAGTATTCGCACGTATATGCCAGTACTTTCACGCAGCCACATGCGGCCGATCACCTTACTATTTACGTAATTAGTATGTACCTGAGTGAATCTCTTGAACTTCAGCTGCTCATCGACGCTAACCAATACTGGTTTATGAGATCTTACGTGCCTCTGTATTTTATGCTGTGCTTAGTTTGGGATTTTGACTGATAGTCAGCACAAATTAATACAAAAAATATGGCTCGCCGCCATTCTCGGCGTCCCTCTTCATATTTGCGTAACTGACTCGAATCATTCCTTGTAAGTAACGTACCTTAGAGGTTCTAAATGCACGCCGGTGTAATTTATCGTAATAATGATGAATAATCGTCCTGCTCAGCAGTCAAGTTTACCCTGCTGCAACGTTTTCATTGTAATTAGCATACGCTTGTGGGCAAAAAGTAATCTGCTACCCGAGGAAATGCCTTTTTCCAAAGGTAAGCATATTTTGCGGAGTGAGCTATGAGTGCGTGATGCATTACGGGGCTTACGCAGTGTTGCAATAACATATGCTTGTGAAAGGTGCCACAGAAAAGTGTGAAGTCTAAAGTCTATCATATTGCTATAAGAAAGACTTCAATCAACGCAGAACGCATGAGAGCCAAACGCACCGTAGTTACATTAATTTTATCTCTGCTATTGTAATAAATTGTAATTGTCATATGAAACTGTTATGAATTGCTCTTCAAAAAAAAAGTACTCTTCCCTTTGACAAATAATTCAGGCAAGTATATGACAATAACTTCAGTTTTAGAGTTCTAGCTCATCATTGTCAGTATCTCCCCAAAACTTCTGCGGTGTACACAGCAGCGAGGCTCTATGTATACTACTTTATTGCCATGTGTGGTTTGTGACTCTCGGTGCATGTACATACTTTTCCACAGTTGGCCCATTGTGGGGTTGACTGCCACATTCTTGCTGCTGCTGGCCGGGAGCATCGTATCCGGTGTGATCACATTCATGGCCGATCTTCCTCCGGGGCTTATTTTCTACCCAGACCTCGAGTACGTATCCCTCAGCCGCATGTGGTTTTCGATATCTGTCTACGAGGCGTTTCTTTCGTATATATTATTGTGTTTAGAGCGGAGCACTTTAGGGGCCCGGGTTCTGTCGTAGCTTAGTGTAACGCAGAAGAAACCACGTATAAAATTTAAAAATAAAGCAAGCAAACGAGAAACTGAAAAGAGAGAAGGAGAAAAATAGAAAAAGCAAGAAATAGAAAGAAATCAATAAATACAGAGGAATAAATAAATATTAACAACAATATAAAAAGACAGCAAAAAAAACGAAACAGGAGGGAAAAAAGAAAGATACGAGGAAAGATGAAAGAAACCGAGGAGAAACAGAGAGGAATGCTTCGCACTTTCTTCAGGCTTATTAGCATCCCTGGTGCGATGCTGCTCGACTTTTTTTTCTTGCCTATTACTTCTTCGAAATAGAGCTTCTTTCTTCTATTTGTTTCGGCTTTGTTAGAAGTGCTTTAAAGTAAGAAGACTCTAGGGAAAGGTATGAATAAGAGGTAAAGGAAAATACCTAATTTAGCTCAATGTATACTAACGGATAGTTTACTTGTGAGATTATTACGTAGGCAGTGTCAAGGGATGATTACTGCTAACCATGCACATTCTTGCAATTACTGATGTTGTGGGTTTTCTTCGCAATTTATTCACATAATCATCCTAATTAAAGCGGTGGTACGGCTGTACCACAAGCCTTGCGAGGCTTCAAGTACACAACACGTTGCAAGCCTAAAGTAGACATCATGGTCAGAATTCACAAATTATACTCGTGCGTGATTTGCTCATGAGAAAAAAATGCAACTGATCTTGATATGATGCCAGAGGCATCATTAGCGAAGCCTGCAATCGAACAGCATAGATACTTTATCAACGAAAAGCTTCGTGCATTGGTCCCTAAATGTTTTACTAAGCCCGAACTGGTACAAAAATGTTTAAAATGCCTTTTATTCGTAACCCAATACTAGTTCAAAAGACATTCCACTGTGAGGTTCAAATGACGAGTCATGTAGCAAACTGCATATTACGTGGGCTCCTTGGTAAGTGTCTGAAACGACTGCAGTAGAGTATTGTTTCTGGTAGTGCAGGCTTTTTGACAGAGCTTGAAGAGCAAGCGATAGTAAGGAAGCATCGGGATTCTGGAGCATTCAAGAAAAAAAGAAGGGAATGGAGGAGCTTTAAGTGCATCCACATTAGACAAGACTCACGTGCTGATTTGTGGATGAAATTGAAGACGCGCGTGTTCTTCCCCGATAATTTTCCATACAAAAACTTATCCACACGTTCGCTGAACGGACTATAGTCAGTGGCCGCCTACTTGTTTTAAATAATTCTACCCTTCGTGTTTGACGGTTTTAGCACTGTGTCTAACCTGGTGACCTACGTGTACCACAAGCCTTACAACCACATTGGCTCCTACTGTGTCGGCGTATTTCTGGGATACGTCATTGTACGACATCGAGACATCAAAGTCAAGCCGGTAAGTGAAAGTCGAAGAGACGTCGCATGTGCAAAGTAAAGTTTTAGCAAGTTAATTGAAATCGAGTGTTTCTCTTGAACATACAAAGTTTGGAATGACAGAAAGTTAAGCTAGGTGGCTGGCATTTATCGTGGAAGAATGTCTCAGGCACGTCCATACATAGTCGCAGGATAACAGGATAACACTAATGAGATACATTCACCATGATACCATACTTTCTATCATAATCTGTGTTATGCGGTTAGCCTTTGTGCGCTCATAAATAGGCCAGTGAAATTTCGGCACGCTTAGTCAAGCACCTCATTTTTCATTGAATATTTTTACAAATACTCGAGTGGTCTGAGAGTTGGGCAGCACTGACGCACTCGCGAGCCGTGAGGGGAGTGGCAGCTTGCTGTGCGAGCTTCTGCATTTCGGCGAGCGACACCATTCTGTGGTCAGATGCGCGTGACATCTAGATAATTGAGCTCTCTTCCACTTGCCACTAAAGTTGAAAATTTTTCAGCAGCTGAAACTATGGTAGGAGCGATGGCTCTGCTCCATGCAGCGTATGACGTCATACACGCCATGGCGATAACAGGCCATAGGCCATGGGAGGAATATACATCCGGTGGTGGCTTCTATAGGGCTTCTTTTTGTCTGAAGTAGTCTTTTAATAGTGTACTTTTCATATATGTCCACATATGTACTTCTATTTTGAGCTGAAAACCGCAAATTGTTGGGTGACTGTGTGATGGCCCTTGTAAACGAAAATGTGTCGTCTTGTTCGCCTTTCATTTGTCTGTGTCTGCACGCCTTACCTTCTTTCATGCATGGTGTGCGTTCTTTGATGTGCAACACGCTCACTCATGTACTTGTACAAACATTCATTTGAGACGAATGCTTTCAGAGGAACTTCTTTGACAGTGTCTTGACAAAAGCCATCTATGACATGAGTGCGAATTTCTTAAAAATCTTATGCTATCAACTGTAATTTTAAACATTGCCTTTTAGCTTTTCGAACCAGCTGCTTCTGCCGCTTCCGATTGCTTAAAGTGAGTTTCCAGCTGTCATAGTTAGTTACTTCATTGAAAGACTGCCTATGAGTGCAATGTTTTATTTTCTCTTTTGTTCATTCTTTCAGTCAGCGGTGGATGCCATCGGTATTTCTTTTCGCAGATAACTACGTTATGCCATCGTGTGGTACTTACTCGCTGCATTGCCATTCTTTTTGCATTAAACAAGCATATGTTCAAACTGAGTACGGTGATTTATAAGTCAATTGGAAATTGACTTATAGATTACTGTACTCAGTAATCTATAAGTCTACGGTTCTCAGTTAACAGGGCTAGTATACTCTTACAACATCAATAACAGACTATACGTAGCGTCCACATGACCCAGGCTGGTAAACTGTGGTCGAAGTTGATCGTGTTTGGTCATACTCCTCTGCTTCAATTTATTGCGCTAAGGCTACTTTTGCGAATCGAGGGCTCTGTATTAGGCTGCTACAGACCAAGTTTATTCTCCTCACTGTATTTCCTGTCATCGTTTCTGGGGCCTTTCAGCAAACACGGTTATTGCGCGAGTAATGAAGACAGCTTTGGGTGCATCTATACCTTTCAGCTACCGTGATGGTCGTGTAATGGAGAGGTCCTCACTTACTCTTTCGGAGGGAGAAATGTATGAAGTAATCGCGGAAACAGAGCCATGGAAACCGTTACCGTTGTGTGAAAGGCTTAATAACGCGCCTGTACGTTTGCCGTTCTGTTCGCTTCCTCTTGTCCGGTGGGGCAGCTCACGCAGGTGATTGGATGGTGCACATCATTCTCTGTGGGCGTGGCAGTGCTGTGGGCGGCTTACCGATGGAATGCCGAGTTGCCCAGCACCCCAGTGGCCGCGCTGTACGCCGCCACGCACCGCGTCGCCTGGTGCGTCGCGCTCGCCTGGTTGACGTTCGCCTGCGTAGCCGGACATGGAGGTGAGTATTCAACTTGCAGTTATAAATTAGCTTGATGAACTATATTTTTCTTCTAGTGGCGCTATCTAAAACTGGTGGTTTATTCCTAATAGTTTCACAATATAACGTGTGCTTACAAAATAAAGAAACAATAAGTATAAACTCCGCCATTAAAAAAACAGAATCATATATGCGTGGTTCGATTGGCTGTTTCGGCATAAACTGACCGAGAGTTTGGGGGTTCGATTGCAGTATCTGTACGTATGTACGAACGTCGACAGGAGGGATAAAAGGGGGCACTGCCCCCCATACCCAGCCACACCAGTAGCTGCCTCTCAATTGCCCCCGAATGGAGTGCCACCGAAAACCAAAGCAACAGAATGTGTTTTTGTTTAGCCCTAATTTGTTTGCATTTTAAAGTGGGCTTGACTCTACACGGTTCAATAAAAATTTCGTACGCAATACGCACGAAATTCATCTTGAAATATTTTTTCCAACACTCAATACACAAATGTTGACATAACTGTGCCTAAAAACTTGCTCATGCATTGGAATAATTCATTTACTACAAGTTATTCTATAATTAGGGGAGCATGTCCACAATTTCGCAAAGTATTTTTGTAATGACAAGTTTACGTTTATCGTGATTAGTGTTAGCGAAACTCACTTGTGAAAATTCTCATTGTTAGTGAGAATAGCATAATGGTAACTCGACTACACCTGGTCATTGTTGTGAAAGTGCGCCAAGCGCGTCCAATTTCACAAGTGTCACAATATTGGGGGCGATGCTTTCCATCAAATTGTTGCGCCCATTTGTCTCGTAGTGTAGAGATCGCGCTATCGCTGTTATCAGCAGTTCCCCTTTGGACTCACTGTGGGACGGACTGTTGTCGTTCACTCGGAGAAAGAAGGAAATTGAAGGATCGCAAACGCCCACAGGCGCTTGCGTGGGTACGACAACGGCGTGAAGTCGCTGCCACAAAACGTTTGGCTGCAGCCGCTGGCTTCGCTGGCTTCCATTTTCAAAGTAGTGGAAGGTTTAGCGAAAACGTTTTCTTGGGATAGTTCTTTAATGACATCAGAAGGAGGGGATTTTTTTAGCGCTAAATCTGGGTTCGCACGATGGAGAGGGGAGGAATTTTCGCAGCGGACGGTGCATCACGTGACGTTCGCGTAATCGAAACTTGCAGTCCTCGCTTCATCAGCTCTCCTCCGCTCAGGGCACGGATGGAAATGCATCGCTGCTATTTCGGTCCATCTGTTTCATGGTCGTCTGCCCTCGATTGACAGGATTCAGGGTAAAATCTGTCAACAATGGTAGGATTGGCGTAGCTAGGAAGCAGGCTGCCGGCTTAAAACCCACGTGTTTTAGTTTTGCGGCAACCGGCGAATCTGTATCGTTTGACAGTTGGAGAGGCGAGTGGTTTTTGGTGGTTTTGGTGGCGGTTTAGTGGTTTTCATTCTCAGCGCGTGGCCTGCGTGAGCACATAAGGGCGCTGCGTAAGCATAGCAGTCGAGAGTATGCACGAGGATTCGTGAGCGTAGCTCCGGCTGTGTGCATGCGACGTCTCCGCTGCTGTGCCAGAATAAACAAATCACGTGACTCTTTGGTCCGCGGAGCAGCGGAATTTTGCCCTCGCCTGTGAATCTAGCTTAAGCAACCAACGGACCGACAAAGAGTGCCAGTCCCATCCTCTTTGTCTGTCCGTCTGTTGCTTCACGCTCATTTTTTTTCTTTCAGTAGTGCACGGGTTCTGAATTTTTATTGCAATATAAATTATATGAACACCCTTAACAGGCTTTTGCCAACGCCCTTGCCGTCATGTTCCGCATCAAGTCCAAATCGATAACATTTCCCCGCGCATCATATATTGCACCAGTGGTAAAAGCGCATGATTGGGGCGATGAATGTGGCTTAAGCAGATCTCTGCTGCTCGGCCCATGCGGAGTAGCAGGCCAGAAACCAACTTTCAAGGCCGACCTCTCCTCCTTTTTCTCATTAAACACCTTCTTCTTCTTCTTCTGTTGCTCGGGAGGCATATGCGTTCACATCCCCCGCGTGTAAGGCCTGCCATCGAATGCTGCTCAAGCTGAGAGGCACCACCCTGGCCGTATTGAATAACCATAAAGGAACGCGGCGTAGGGTTGACGGGTGTCTCTCGAGCACTTTGATTCTGAAGGCATGGTCGCGATCACTGGCACGTGTGCTATCTCGGCACGCATCATCGGAACGCTTGTGTACCTTTCTACGTGATCTGTTGTCAACGCGAACAGACTGCGAAAACCACTTGTCTCCCTGGAACGGCTGTATTCACTTGTCGCAACAGCAGAACATCACAATGTAGTCCGTCATATCGTGACAGTGTCTAATAGGCCGTCGATCTGCATGTCTCACGAAAAAATATAGATCATGATCTCCTTGATGAAGTAAGTAAATCTTCGTTAAACCGTTGAACCACACGTTTCAAGACGATGTCTCACGTAAGTCACGTAGAATACTTTTGACGTCAAACAGGACCAATTTCAGATTCGTTGTCACATGATAAGTGGGTCACATTCTACGTGTCACACACTATGCGGTCTACTAACTTGTTTCCACCCTTGAAAATATAACTGCGAATCTACTGCAGTCTAGAGCTGTAGCCCACGAATAAAGACAATAGCCAGCAGGCTGGTTCATAGAACTTAAAGTCTCAAGGTGACTCAGGCTACGAGAGTTCTCATAGTGAAGAAATAATATAACAATAAAAATTGCAAAAAACTTGTGCACGTTAAAAATTACATGGGATTAAAGTTTTCTTGGCGCCGTCCAGACAGCGTCTTCAATAGAGCGCAAATAATCCATGGTCTCTGCGCGTTGAAGTTGAATATTTGTTTTAACTGTTGTGGGGATGCTTTTTGGATACAGTGGTAACATTTCCCCGCGTGTTAGTGGTCTTCAGTTCAAAACATACCTTTCGGTTTATGTTTCTTCTCACACTCTCCTTCCCCGCCATGGTGGTCTAGTGGCTAAGGTACTCGGTGCCCCGCAGGTCGCGGGATCGAATCCCGGCTACGGTGGCTGCATTTTTGATGAAGGCGGAAATGGCGTAGGCCCGTGTGCTCCGATTTGGGTGCACTTCAAAAAAAAAACCCCGGGTGGTCAAAATTTCCGGGGCCCTCCATTATAGCGTCTCTCATAACCATGTGCAATCTTTTTACAGAGCAATTGATGCTTATTTTGGTCATTGTCACTGTCAATTTCGGTGTCTTGTGTGCAGTGCTATTTGAGTGCCAGTTGTTTTGGTTTTCTGTTTGTACGTCCTATTGTACTCTTTCCCTGTTATGACCCTCAAGCGAGGGTTGACAGTTCTTTAACGTGCACCCAAATCTGAGCACCCGGGCCTACAACATTTCTTCCTCCATCGGAAATTCAGCCACCGCAGCCGGGATTCAATCCCGCGATCTGCGGATCAGCAGCCGAGTACCTTAGCCACTAGACCACCGCGGCAGGGTCATAAAAATCATTTAAATTTATTTTCTTAATTGCATCTTTGTTCATTGTCGAGTGATTTTCTTCTAGACTTCTTTGAGTTGGTCTCGTCTTTGCTTGTTCCTTTAGCGCGTGAGCTATGAAAAAAACCAGGTGTCATGTGTCTAGCTCTGTCACACTGTTTTTGCTGTCCTGATATATTCACCTGTGATAGGCCAAGACAGCGCTATATCTTTCCTAAAAAACGTGTAGTGGATTAAGAAAAGCACGATTATGTCGACCTTCGCAAGAATTCTTTACCTGTCTGAGCCCAGCCTCGCCTTGCGGCATTGCGCATTGAGAACACCACACGTCTATGAATACTTAAACTGCCACAGAGTGAGAATACCTGTGCTGGGAAAAGAAACGTATATCGAGGCGAGCGTTTTACGCTGCTTGAGAGGGAAAGTATATACAGAAAGTGCTGGCTTCTGCTGAGTCCGAGAAGACTGCCTAGCGCAATTTTTTGTCTTGGTGCGCGTGAGCTTGTGCCCGTTTGCAGGAATGAAATGACCTCACGGGTCGTTAACCTCTATCGGGAAGTCGGTAATTTCGAGACGCTTCTAACACATAGAATAATGTTGTGCGGCTAACCTCTTCCGTGGCCAGGCCAGCAACCACTGGAAAGTATGAGTGGTGGTATCCGCGCAGTCATTTTGCGTGCCTAATTACATTAGGTTATTAACTTTTGACCTGCTATCAAAGTGTCCCTCGTGGACATCTTTTTTTAATCTTTTCCTGTAACATACAGCTAGCAATATCACTGCGTTATGTTCGAAAGAGAGGTAAGCGACAAGCGTTTTTCCGCCATAAGTTCACACAACTGAACGTCACATAGGCAAATTACTTCTTGGCAGCAATAGACACACTTCGAGAAAAAGGAGAAAATTGCGAATGTTGATTGAGACATAAAGCATGAAATACTAATGACGACACTTCAGGACAACAATTCAGGGATCTTCACGACACACACCACACGGCATGAAGGAGCCTCAACTCAACATGTGACATTAAGAATATATTCAGTATGCTGGGTTACGCTATGTGAGGAACGACGAAGGGGGGTATACACACCGAGTTACTTTTCATAGCCGGTGCTTCTCCTACGGCGCTACTGCGGCCACAATCGGTGTTTTCACAGTACATTCCCACTACGCGGCCACCAGAAGTGTCAATTGGTGAACACAGGCTGGCAGAACAATTTAGCCAACGTGGCAGACACATTCAGAGTGACCAAGCCCATGCGTAGCGAAAAACGTGGCACGCTGTTCGTATGTGTACATACGCATGGTGAATGAGGTAACATTTAAAAGCATTAAAACTTTTACACAGTACTGAAGCGCTGTCGGGGTATGTATTCTATTGCCACCCGTATTAGGGGGTGAAATGCATGGCCAGTGCACGAAAAGCTGTCCTTTTTTTCGAGAGCGAGCTTCAATCTATTCAGAGTGGTTATTTGATCCATTTACCAATAAAGCCAGTCATTGTGACTGATGCTTCACAAAATGAT